TTTCCCTTCACTGTGCTCCTTTGTGACACTTTTGCACCTTGACAAAGAACCACCTTGGGTGCTCTCCTCTTCCCCATGGTTGGAAACGTTTCCCACATAGTGGGGGCCAGCCACATTCAGACTCCTGTGCGTTTAGCTCAGGCTCCGCCCCCCATATACACAAGGTCCTGCATTATCTTCTTCATTCTAACAGACACACTTTCCCACAAGGGTTTGTGATCCACCCCCTGGACCTTCTCCTGTCAGGTCTCTGTCCTCCCTGTGACACGTTCAACTCTAGCCCCTCATTGACTGGCTCGTTGTGGAAATGCACCTCATCAGAACCCACTGACACCTACTGGCCAAATTCTCCCTAAATACCACCCTGACCCTGAGCTCCATGGGCCTGGGGCCTCCTCACTCATCCCCAGTCCCCAACGTGAGCAGTCACAGCAGGAGGCTGAATAAGCATGTGCACAGTCACCTGTCCCACCTTCATCTCCTAATGTCCCATGACGGTATCTACCCATCATGATATCCCCTGGACTTTACATTCTGTGAAATTTTGGCTTTTAAATTCTATAGGACTTGCTTATATTGCATGGAGGAAATATGTAACTTTAAACATTATCATGAAATAAAAAAAAATATTTTCATTACTTTGACATTCTGTTGTGAAATAATATTTTTAAAGATTTCATTTTTTAGGGAAGGGGAGTGTGGGAGAAAAGGAGGGAGGGGACATCCAAGTGAAAGGGTTTCTTTCTCACACACCCCCCAAAACTGGAACATGGATGAAAGCCCAGGCATCTACTGTGACCGTGGCCTTATTGTTAAATTGCCAGCATGAGCCACTCCAGCCAGGGCTACAGTGCTTTTCTGTGGGAAACTCTTCAGATACTGAGGGAGCCTGGCTCCCCTGCCCTGCAGACACAAGCCTCCCTGAGGGAGACAGGGTGGTGGGGCTGCAGGGGCTGCTCGGGGCAGCAGGGGACATTGGTGCCACTCAAGGTCGTTCATGAGCACAAGGGAATTCAGTACCATCAGGGACCGCTGAGAGCACCAGGGACATCAGTGCTACCAAGATGTACTCAAAACAGAAGGGGACATCAGTGCCACATGGGCTCACCAATGAGCACAAGGGACAGCAGTGTCACAAGGGTTGTTGAGAGCACCAGGGACATCAGTGCCCCCATGGGGTGATCAGGACACCAGGGCATGTTCCAGACACCTGGTAGATCAATGCAATCTGAATGGAAGGGTGGCCCTCAGAAGCTGGTTCCTAGAGGGTTTATGGAAAGGTTTCCCTTTAGGGTCATTGACTTCTTCCCCTCCTTTTGACCCTGGGGCAATTCCTACTTTCCTTTAGGTGTCTTTAACTTCTTCCACTCTCTGCTGCTTCCCAGTAGGAAGGAATGGAGTTCACAGATAAGGCTGCTTTCTCATCTGAGTTTCCATTGCCCTCCTATTCCTGTACAGTCTGCACTTTCTTACTGACAAACAACACATGTCAGGAATTCTCACTGAGTCCCAACTGACGATGACACCCCACACTCCAGGGCAGCACTGAGCCGACAGTTCTGAACCCATGTTTTCTTCCTCACACAGTGCAGAGCACCCATCATGAGAATGACCAGCCCTAGGCTGCCTGCCCTGTCAGGATCCCTGTCTGCTTGGGGGCAGTGAACCACTTCCTCTCTGCCACACGGTTGGATATTGATCAATGCGTGATTGCCTCTTGCATGTCCCTTATGAGGGGATGGCTTGCAATCCAGGTTGAACCCTGACTGGGAATTGAACTGCTGGTTCTTTAATTAGCACACTAGCACTCAATCCACTGAGTCCCACCAGCCAGGGCTCTGGGAGGGTATTTTATGTCCGTGAACTGGGTGAGGCAGGTTATCCTTCCTAATGGGTCCTCACCTGACCATTGCTGCAGGGGACCAATGAGACCCATCTGCCTGAGGGCCTTGGTTTAGTAGCATCCTCATGAGGTTTGGTCCTGCCTCCAGCTCCCAGGACACACGGGCTCCTCCTGCATCTCAGGGCTGTGTCCTTGGACTGAACTAACCTTCAGACTCCTCTGTGACCCTTACATACACTTTCTCTTCCATTTACCCTGGACACGATTCCTATCACAGTCTCTTTTGTTCTCAGAGCCGCAGGGCAGGGCCTGGATGTGTGCCTCTGTCTCAGGGACTCCAGTCAGAGTTTCATGTGACCCAGAGGAAGACCCTGTTCTTGTCCAATCAAGGGCCCCACCCACCCTGCCCTTGTCTCACAGGTTGTGTCCCTCCCTCCCCTTTCTCCTCATCCAGCTGCTTCCAGGATGAATGGGAGACCATGACAGAGGACCCAAGATCACTATGGGAATTGTTACTGTTTGTCCCATCTCATCACCACCTCTAGCCATGGGAGTTTCCTGTCCGTTTCAGGTGATCACCTGTTGACTCCTTTCACCTGAGTTTGTTGTCTGCTTTCCTGTGCTGTGGACCCTCCTCCCTGATCAGGAAAATAGCCAAATCACCTATTTCCAAGCACTGTAAGAAACTCAATAGGAAGATGTGTCCCATCCTCACCACAAAATATCATACACCTTATAAAAAGAAGAGAACATGGACAGATGCAAGAACACAGATGTGCCTTGGAGACACAATGCCTGGGGAAATGGGCCACTCTCAACACCACAGTGGCCTTGTGCTTCCAGGTCTGTGGGAGACAGAGGGTCAAGGGCGTGGAGGCAGAGCATGAAAGGGGTAACTGGTTTGGGGAATAGGAGATGGGGAGTTATTATTTAAAGGGTACTGAGTCAGTGTGGGAAAGAATTCTTGACTTGAAGGGTGACAGGTTTCACAGCCTTTTGGATGTATTTAATGTCACTGTGTGAAGTTAAAAGAGATTATCCTGGTGAATGTTTGGGGCAAAACCCTCAGAAGCAGTGCGACTGTTCTACGTGTATTTTCAAGATAATGGAATCTGGGAAGAAGGGGAGCCTGGTCCAGGACTCTGGGCTACAGGGATCCTCGGGCTGAGAGTTGTGTGTGATGTGGAGATGTGGGATCAAGGACAGTGGGGAATCACATCTTGAGAGGGGTCAGGACATGACAAGGACCCAGGTCCTATTTGAGGGAGATGTGATGTGGGTGGCATATCAATAAGACCCAGCACTCTCTATATATGTAGTCACCAGAATGAGTTGTGTGGACACACGACTCTCCAGGACACTCACCACAACAGGACCATGCCATACAGCATGGACACAGTCTTCTCAGGAGACACGTTGTCCCCATGAATTTCTCTTTGATGCATCCTCTGAGCACCTAACCTGGTGCAGGAGGAAGAACAACAAGACCTTCAACATGTGCCACTTACCTGGGTTTCAGTCTCTAAAGCTCTTGGAAAACTGTGGCACAGAGACACCCACCTGAAATGGACCTCTCAGCAGCATCGCAGGCAAATGTGAGGAGGAGAAAACATGTTCACTCTGAGGGTCCTCGGGGAAGGTGAGGATGCCCTGAGCTATCAAAGACCCTAAGCAGGGCCTCAGTTGTCCTCCGTGTTGGGGAGGAGACAGGAGTGGATTACAGAGTACAAGTGTACACCACCTGTCCAAGTGTGTTGCTTGGTGGATGAAGTGTTCTCACAGCTTCCCTTCCTTGGCATCCACCTCCCTTTCCTTCAAGCTGGTCACAAGGGGAAGGTTCCAGCACTGCTAATGGGGTCTCTTAGCCCCTGCAGGGCAGTAGGGCCTTCCCTGTCACAGATGCCACCTTGGTCTCATTTGGCTACACCTCCTCATCATTCTGTCCATTTCTGTTTCGAAAGGGAGGAACTCCAGAGACATTTGTCACATGAGGAAATTTCTCAGCGGGTCCTTAGATGTGTTCAGTCTGTCGGATGTGCTCCAGTCCTTGCTGTGCACTGTGAGATGGCAGGCACTGCAGTGAGTGGTTTCTGAGGATGGAGGGTGTGCGAGACTCAGGCAAGCAAACCTGGTTTTAAGCCTTTACTGGGCTGCTGAGTTTCATCATGTGCTTCACTTCACGTAAGTGAAGTACTAAAAGGTACAGCTACTTTGCTCATCGGTTTCCATCCATCTGTCACCTTGGCCTCAGGAGCTCCCAGTCCCCTTCCCAGGACATCAGCCTCCAGATCCTCCCTCAGGCTCTCAGGTGAACATGGGCATGGCAGGTTCCAACCTGACCCTCTGTGACCAGGAAGCAGTGCTCATCCTCCTCATACATCTCAGGACACCTGATGGCCCAGAGTCAGAGCCTGTGTGTCTCAGGGAGAAGGTGCCTCAAGGGCTCAAGGGGCCATGTGGTCCGGGAACCTGGGAAGCCTCCTGAGATGCTCACCAGTGGGAAGGGGCTGCACTGCCTGGGGGAACTCAGATGAAAGGAAGGACACGGCGTGTGTAACACCTGTTTCAGCTACAAGGTCTGAGCTGGACTCTGGGCAGCAGGTCCTAATCTGTGTGGCCTGGTCTGCGGAGTTGGACGGAGACAGAGGCTGCACATGCAATGCCATCTGCAAGTGAAAGGGCCTCAGCCAGAACAAAGGAAATGCTATTCTTCACTTTGAAATATTCATATATGAAAATGCACATCAAGTTATTTTTAATATGAATTTATGATTATCCCATATGGAAAGGACATGTCTACTTCATGTGTTTCTTTGGACTAGGGAATATGTTTAGGTATAAATTAATATATTTAAAGATCCTCTTGAATAATCTATGGAATTAAAATAGTGTGTTCCTTCCCCCAGTACAGCTTTAAGTGTTAAAGACAGAAAGAAAGGTGGGTTTTTTGGCATGTTTCAAAGTTGACACATAACCCCGTTCTCTCCCATACCTGACCTATGCCATCCAGTCCAAGAGAAGAAATGTGCTCAGGACCCAGAAGGACAGTGGCCTCACTGTCTCCCCACTTATGAGAATAGCGTCCACCTTATGCAAATTTCTTTCTCAGATCCTGGTTAAATCCTCCCCTGTGCAGTGGAGGATCACACTTCCATACTCACACGACGCTGAGTCACTGGGGGAGCCAGACCTGCGTGTAGAATAAGATGAAACTGCTGGGCCTCCTCCTGTGCCTGCTGACAGCCCCTCAGGGTGAGTTTTTGAGATGTCAGATAAGTGTCTATGGGACAGTGGTGACTGCATGTGACTGACATGGACCGATGCTCTTTGTCCCCAGGTGTCTGGTCCCAGGTGCAGCTGCAGGAGTCAGGCCCAGGACTGGTGAAGCCCTCGCAGACTCTCTCCCTCACCTGCACTGTCTCTGGATTATCCATCACTAGTAACGACTGGAGCTGGATCCGCCAACCCCCAGGGAAGGGGCTGGAGTGGATCGGGTACATAAGTGGTGGTGGAAGCACTTACTACAGCCCGTCCTTCAAGAGCCGGGCCTCCATCTCCAGAGACACGTCCAAGAAACAGTTCTCCCTGCAGCTGAGCTCCATGAGCACCGAGGACACAGCCGTGTATTACTGTGCAAGAGACACAGTGATGGGAAGTCAGCAAGAGCCCAGATGCAAACCTGCCTGCAGGAAACACAGATTCCGGGCTGCAAGGGGCGCTCAGGACACAAGAGGAAGCCATGGAAACCAACACTGTCATGGTCCACAGACTCTGACATGCTACAACCAATTTTCTGGCTCCACTATTCCTGCTTCATCACCTGCTTCTGCTCCTGGCGAGACATTGGTCCAGTGTCCACTTTGTCACTACCCTCGAGGCTTCAGGCAGAGCACTCTGAGAGGGGGACCTGTACTCTGTAGGTCAGAGAGACCCTCTACACCAAAATTAGGTCAGTATTGGCTACACTGAGTGCAAAAGGGAACCCTGGGTCTGAACTTCCCCAGGAAATCCTGGACTTTCTCACCATGGCCTCTGCACGTTCCTGGTGCTGGTCAGACAGGAAACCCCAAGGCTGGGCTCTCTCCAGTCCTTACATCAATTGTGTTTGCTTTTCTTCTGTCATCAAAGGAAGCACCTCATTTGTGAGGATGAGTAGGGATCCTTCCACCGAACCAGGAACTGGGAAAAGAGGGGTCAGGTGTTATTACCATGAAAAGTTACAGTGTGTGTGTGGGCTTGTGTCTCTTTTTCTCTGTGATTTATTAAACAGTAGAAGTTTATTGGCATAAGGGCCATGTGTAGGGATACAAGAAGAACCTGTGGACTTCAGTGTCCCTCCAAGTCACTGAGAGCTTCTGGACTCAGGGCTGTGAGCTGAATCAGTGCACCTGACAGCTCCAGCAAAGGGGCTCTCTGGTGGCTGCACAGAGCCCTGTGTCAGAGTTCCTGCAGTGTCACTGGTATCTACTAAGGACAATTCACTTTATTCTGACTTGTCTAAGCACATGGTGTCTCTGAGGGACCATCCTGAACTCAGGGATCAGTTTTCAATTCTGGGACCCAGACACTGAGAAGTCTGTGCCCTGTCAGCCAAGACACGGCCCTCCCTTGCAGGGCTGGGGCTGGGCAGTAGGTGGTAAGTAGAGCCCATGATCTTCAGAAGCAGGTGGAGCTGGAAAAAGGAGGCATGTCCCCTGAGAGCATGGGTATTCCTGTTTTTATCAAATCATCTAAAAGAAGGGTTGGGCTGGGTGTGACTCTAAATACCTATCTGTGTAAGAGCATTTACCAAATTGAAAAGGACAAAGGAGCCACAGTCAGTGGGAGTATTTCTATAGCTTCTTTGTATCTGAATGTTCAGAAGCTGAAGGCCTTGATCCAAAACATAAAACCTACAGGTATTAAAACCCAGAATGTCCAGGTGTCTCTGTTTCACTTGGAGGTATTGTCAATTAAAAGCATCTCCTGTGGGGCTCGGTCTTCTGTGAGAAGAGCTCTGTATGTACAGAGCTCTGGGGTCTAGAAAGGGGCACAGATCAGAGAACACTGACTGAAAATTGAACCCTCACCATCCCATTGTCCATGTGCCCTGCATCCTCCACCTTCTTGAAGATGAAGTCTGATAATCAGGGATGAAGTACATTTCCTCATGACTATGAAAATTAGATGATGCAGACTAGGTTCAATGTGGGTCTGTCTGTGCCCTGAGAGCATCACCCTCAGCCACACCCTCCCCTTCAAAAGTCCTGATGACACCACTGTTCACCATGGACAAGTGATAGGAAGCCCTCCTCCTGGTGGCAGTGGCTACAGGAGAGGATTCTTTGCTCATGGTTTCAGGAGGGGACCAGGGATGGTCAAGAGGAACACACAGCCAGCCCTGCCTCCTCTCCTTCTGTGTGCACTCCTAGGAGCAGCTGGTGCCCTCTGGGTCTGAGGTGAGGAAGCCTGCAGCCTCAGTGAATGTCTCCAGCAAGGCTTCTGGGTACACCTCCAAGATTTCCCTGTATTCTCTGTATGAGAGGCCCTGGAAAAGCACCTGAAATATATGGGCTTCATCAACATAAAGTCACTGCTAAACCCATGTAATTCCAATGTTATAAGGAATGGCAAAGTAGGGTTTTAATTAGCCCCATGGGAAACAGAGGATACGCCACCTGTTTGGTATTAGGCTTTACCTGAAATTCCTATAACTTTGGGAAGTAACTTAAGTTTTACATACTCCCAAATATCTTGAGTTTCTCCCTTACCACCTCTCAGGAAATGAACTTTCTTTCCTTGCCTGAGAAGACTTCCTTGAACCTTCAGAATAAGTCAGTCACCAGGCCCTGTCTCAATTCCAGTGAGATCAACTTAGGAGAAAAATATAAATGCCTCAATATTGCTTATTAAGTGTAACTAACGAAACTGTTTTAAGAAAAATGTAAGTTTTCCTAATTCTGAAAATAGAAAGTATTAACAATTAGCAATGTTTTCACCAAAAATAAAACTATAATAATCTTCAGTTTATTCTCACCTATAATCAATATTGTTTGTGTTGATTATTTGTCAATATATCTGTAAATCCTGTTATTCCATGAAGTTCCAGTAATCTTTATCTCATTAAAAAAATGTGATCTGAAGTTTTATTCTCAGAAATACAGAACTCAGAGTATGTTGCATCCTATAAATGGTTCTTTCTGAAACTATGTAACATATTTGTAAATGCATCAAGATCAAACAATGGCTGTTCCTACATGATAGAAAATGAAACTAAAAATGACAATGTTATACATCTGAATTTTCTGCAATTGACAAATAATTTTTCCTCTAAAACAACATTTCAAGATATTAAACATACAAGTTAAGTTATATCAGAACCTTTTATACTCTTGGAGATTTTTATGTAATCTCTAATCATCCATTTTAATAATGAAATATGTGTGTATACATCGAACATAGGTATTCATTATTTATTAAACAAAACTTCCCTTTAACACTAAGTGTATCAAATAGGCCTAATTGGTTAAAAATTTCTCCTCTATGAGAAAAAATTACAAATCCACATGGCATTCCAGGAACTCATTGGAATGGCTGAAAGCCAGTTTTAGGACAACAGAAAATTGTTGGCGCCAAGTCATTGGGAGGATATAAAGGGGTCGATTAGCTGAGGGGACTGGCTGTGACTCCAGACCACTGTGGAGGATCAGTATCAGCTACGCAGGGCCCCACTCCACAGAGCTGGACTTAATTTAGCAGGGCTCTGATTCCCACTAAGTAACACATTGAGTGTGTTGCTTGCAGAGGCAGTTGGATGGTGGTACTTCAACATGGTCTGTAGCTTCTCCACTGTGTGGAGCAACACTTGGACCACTTGGTAGGTGTGGTCAAAGTCAACTGACACTTGTGTCTGGAGTCACCCAGCAAATGTGCCAAAGCAGCCTGTATATGGGTGCTACTTTTCCTGTGCTTGGAGTTGCCAAAACAAAACCAAACTGTGAACTAAGACCACCTGTTTCTAGTGTTGGATCTGGGATGATTTAGTGAGGTGTTCAGAAGTCACTGAGACTAGACACTTCTTGTTTAAGGAAATATAAGGGATTCTGAAGCACGAGCCAAGTTATTTGTATGATAAAACCATTGTAAGAAACATAGGTGTACCTGAAAGGTGGAGGGCTGAAACTCAGGGAATCACTATCATGATGCCAACAAAAGGATCCATGTTGATGGAGTCTCCAATTTCTGCTGTTTCTGTGTGAGTAGGGCCCAGCAAAAGAACAATAACAATTACAGCACTTATGTCTGGGAAATATCTGGCCCCCACGTCACACTTTGATTCCAAACCATTCAGTTCCTTCATGTCTATGCCTCTGGTCCCCTTTGAGCTGTTGCACCAGTGCTAGAGCTCAGAGGGAGCCTGAACCAGTCTGTACATCGGCCATTTAAAAGGAATTGCCTAAGATTCAATTCCCAGAGTTTTCTACAACCAGAAGTTGTGGGGACTTATTTCTTGTCACTGGTACCCTGGGCTGAGGGGCCTTGTGTATGGCTAGTACCACTTGGTCTGCCAATTTTTATTTGCTACAGGTAGAAACAAATGCCACATGACTGTTCCTCCTACCAGACCCAGTTTGGTTACTTTTTTAATTATGTAATTTGAGGACTTCCATTCCTCTCAAATTATGTTGCTTATGAATAATAGTTGTTCTGTACTTTAGTTGTAATTTTGATGTGCCTGTGTGAGGAGGTGAGTTGTGCTTACCTACACTGACCTCTTTTCTGTAATTCAAAACACTGTTTACTGATATAAGTATAGACTCACACATATCTGTGTTTGGTTTTAAGCCAATGCTATATTACTAATTTTGTATTTGGATCTTGACCTTTTTCTGTCCATTATCAGCTTTATTCTGTTGGTTCCTCTGTCCTGTTAAAATGCTCTGAGTTTGCTTTGTCATTTCCTTACTTTGCATGAATGAGAGTTGCTCCAGGATCCTGGGGTATATTTCCTTCCCCACCCCTAAACTTGCCTTCTCCCAAAGAAGTCCACTTTGTTCCATTTAAGAATTATATTATAGTTCAAGGCCTTCATGCCAGGGTGCTTGTTTTTAGTGGGAAGTCACTGCTATGGATCCTCTTAACTGGGAGACATGAACACCTAAGCCCAGGTGGGCATGGTCACCATGACTGACAGGCAAAGAGTCCAAGAGTCAGACAGAACATCCTGGTTCACAGAGACCTGGACATTGGCTCTTTCATCATGTTGTCTCTAGAGAGTTAATGTCTGTAGACAGTACTAGATTCTTACTTGGTAGGCCAACAACAAAGAGTTGCAGGCCAAGGGAACAGATTGTAACTTGGATAAAATCATAGAACTTTAATGGCCTTCAATCGATTTCAAACTTAAGCAAGTTTACAGATTCAAAGGCTCTGAAGTGAGGAGGAAGTCAGGTCCCTTGAAGGAGGATGATACCACGTTACAAAAAATTGCGACATTAATCTTCCCCAGACTTCCTAAAAGAATGTGGCCATTGCAGGGTATCTGCGCTGAGGAATAGGAAGTGATCCGACTTTCAAATATTACCAGTTCTTGTCTCCACACTGCCATTTATTTCAGAATATTTCCAATGTCACTCTTGTCCATCAGTCACAGTAAGGACTTACGAGGGTCAGGTGCTCAGTGTAATTTCACCTCATGTCCTTGTCACAGTGGACACAGAGGGTCCTTCTTCCCACTCTCTGGTGACATCCTATTATGCTATTATGATGGCAGAGCTTGGAAACACTACAAACCTATGATCTCTCACATGGCCTCTCTGACCTGTAGTATGGGGACACCCTGAAGAATATGGTCATGTAAACCACTGAAACTGTGCTTATTCAGGAAGACAAAATAAGAATTTAGAGACTTCTGAAAAAACTCCTGACTTCCAAAACCCATGGGGTTCTAACTGCATCCCCAATCAATCATCTATTTGGTTTTTGTGGGAGAAATGGATGTTGGAGAATCACAGTAAATTTTTCTATCCTTCAGCTGGTTCTGAGAGAAAATACTTCTCTCCTAGCATATGCGATTTCCATGTTGAGCAAACTAACATAACCATGGTGCCTAGTGTTAGGTTGTTGACTCTGAAAAGCCTTTAGACCAGGGTGTTTTACAACTGCGGCTGTCCTGGGTCTGCTGCCTACAACTGCAGGTCATTGAAATGAGGGACATCTCACAATCATCATGTGAAAATCAAGTCAGTATAAATGTAAATGTCAATATGCCATTATGTTCTGCTTCTCTGGAGGAATGTGACCTATGCTCCCTTAAAACAGAGGGCAGGCAAGTTTGCCCATCTTTGGCCACCGGAACCCACCCATGTGTTTACTTGAAACAGTATTTGGCACTCAGTGAACAAAATATGATCGGATGATCCCATTAATTAATAGCACATTAGAATGTGTAAAACTGTTTCCTAACATCCTCTGTGCCCTAAACCTGTAAGGACCATTGAAAATATTGTAGCCTCATGAAAACACAAAGTTACTGAGGATGGAATAGCACAGTGATGTGTATCAGAGCTCACTGAGAGGGATTCAGCAGACTAAGCTGATGACCAACCACAACACACAGGTCCTCAGGGATCGATCTGGAAAATGAATTTTCTCTTTCCTGATCTAGGAAAATATCAAACTGAAATTTGCCTTCACGTGGGAACATTTATGATATACATTTACTGAAATAAGACAGATTTATTTTACTCATCCAATTACTGTGAAAATTTGCAAAGAAGAGTGTCTGTTTGATGAAGGTCCCAAGTGTGATAATATGTGATAATGACAAGATCAACATAGTAGAGAAATATACACTGTATTAAATAAGTGGTGACACACAGAAAACACACATGTTTGAGAAATTGAGCATGGGTCCAAGGTGCCGTGGATTAGGGACCTTCTCTGGGCTCTATTAGGCAGGGACAAACTGTGACATTGCCTGGACAGTGGAAACCAAACTGAGGCCCTTTTCTGTCCCTGGAACTAAGGGAAAACTCAGTGCCTGCTAGGCTCCTGGATGTGGAATCCATGGATCCCAAATGTGGAACATCACCCCTGCTTCTCTGTGACCAACCCTAGACAGAGCAGCTTTGAAGCAGAGCTGGAGTAATGACCAGCAGTGTCTGAGCCCTCACCCATGACACCTTGATCAGTGTGTGTGGCCACGAATATCCACACTTGGGAAAGAAAGAGGATGGACTTACAACATGGACTCATGCATGCAGACTGAACCATGTGAAGAAGGTGCATGAGTCTGCCCATAGAAAGTGCTGGGACTTGAGAAAATAATTTTTTTTCAGTGTGGTGGTGCAGGAATACCCTGAAGAGACTGACTAGCTCACATGGACTGTCCCCTATGACAAGAATATACAGTAATTTGGAACCAAAATATTCATGAAGTTTTGGGAGAGAAAGACACACACTTCTTTAAGGACAGCTGTTCCCAGCGTGGCCCTGGATTAACAAGGGAATGATTACACTTGGCAGTGCCGCCTGAAGAATGCAAGGGGCTACTCCTCCTGTTCTTGGTCCGGGAGCCTCTATGCCTCTGTATCTGACCCTGGAGAAAGTCAAGCTCTCCAGGTCCCTGGTGTCACATGGCTACTGCTCCTTGAACATGACCTAAATGACCATGAAGATGCTGTTTGTATTACAGGTGTCATTTTTAGATGGATGGACAGGTTTCTGTGGGGCAGGCAGGCCACTGCATTGTGATGATGGAAAATACTGGTGGAAATGTAAGAGTGAATTAACTCAGTCATGTAAACCACAGGCCCCTTTCGCTGATTGGCATGAACAGTCACAGTGCCTGGGTGTGAGGGACACATGGGTGTTACCAGTTACCATGACCATAGGTGGAGAAGATGTTAGTGGAGACCTTGTTACTATAGAGTTGACCATATGGAGCCTGAAGCTTGAGCCTACTTATACCTCAAGGAATTCCCTGAGGTATAAATGGCACATTGAGTAAGGCCTGTCCTATCCCATAGGAAGAAAGTCCTAAGAGACAGGAGCCAGTAAGAGGACTTCCTAATGCACCTGTTGAAGTGGCCCCCTAGGGCCCTGTGGTTAAAAGACATTAGAGGCTTGTGCAAGGCAGCGATGTGCTCAAGGTCCGTATATTCCTCTTTCACCCACAGAGGAGCCAAGTGCCAGCAACCACTGTCCCATCCGTCAGCCACAGAGACTGAGGCTGGCCATGGGACTCCTGTTCTTTGAGAATATTTCCCAGGGTTGGTCAAGCCATGTCACATGGCCCAAGGAATCTGGGAATTGGTCCTGAAAGCTGCAGGTCTTTGCTCTGCTCTGCACGTCATGGTCCTTTTTGCAGGTGCCACTGCTGGAGGGCTATGCAAGGAATTCAGTGCAGACACATGGACACCTGACTTACATATTCTCATGCCAACAGACATCCCTTTCTTTCCTGAGCATCTAACAATCAGAGACTCACTACATCAGATGGACTTACTGTGTTCCATACCATCTTTTTAATCCTGGTCAGACAAGAATTGAAATGAATTGTTGAAAGATGTTTTGGGTGCACACAAGGAAATAAATGTGTGAGGGTTGGTGGGAAGGAATCATGAGTGTGTGCTCACACTCACCATGAGGGGCCCAAGGACCTTTCCATTCCACAGCCTCCAACCCTGTCCTGGGGGTCAGATGGAGGCCTGTGGCAGCCTTCCAGGTAGGACAACACTTGTCTCCTCACATCACCACACCTTCTCTTCCGCTACGGGATGCAGTGTGTCTGGTCCTGCAGGTGTTAGAAGGATGTTTCCCTGAGCAAGCAAGGCTCATTGAGCTGTATCTCTCAACCATGATATCAGAATTCGCAGTGGCCCAACAGGGAGGGTTGCGCATTTCCCCATCATATATAGTTGAAGAGACACAGATGAGTTCAGGGCAAAATTACTTAATAATATTTTTGTTAATAAAAATAAAATGAAAGGTTGCTATTTACAGGTTGGAAAAATAAAAATGGGGGAAAATCCTTTGTATTGAACTGAAATATTTGGTCTCCATCTGCGTGTTTGATAGTCACCCAGATGTTACCACAGTGAACATGAGCTCTGCCATCTTCTGCTCCCACAAATCACACTTCTCTCTGTCCTTGCCCCCCAGGGTCTCGCTTAACCATTACAGAGGGGATGCCACACCCAGTCAGGGAGGGGCATTGACTGTGGGCTCCTCCTGAGCATGAAGCTTAGAAGGAAATCAGCCCCTCCTGGGGTGGACTGTGCTGCCTTCCAGTGGATGGTGAATCAGCCGGGGTCATTCCAGCTTGGCACTGGACATATGTACAGACAATGGGATGGCACAGGGTAAGCGTGAAGCACAGACCCAGAGGACGCGCTCGGCCTTTCACCCAGGTCCACCATGTCTCTGACTCCTGAGGTTCTGTGACCTGGCTCGGAAATGGTGATAGAGGATGGAGGGATGTGTGTGCCTGGGCTGATAACGATGACCCACGTGAGGTGCAGGTTCTGTCTGAAGCACTTAGCAAGAACTTCTAGAAATCAACCTCATCACACATTTTACTTTCAAATATAATGAGTACTTTGTACAAGGTGGAAGAGATGTGTCAACACCCACAGGGAACAAGAACAAGTGGCATTGTGGAGGGGTGGGCACAGATCAGAGGAACAGGAGCATAAGAACCTGGAGGAGGCCAACGGAACTGGGGCTGACCCAGAGAGCACAGGCAGAAAAAGTAAATACATTGCCTTCCAGCCATTTTTTTAAAATTAGGTTTTGAAATGAAAAATTAATTTAATAATTCACAGAAAATGACCAACAGTAGCAATATAATTAAAACATCTATTTTGCATACCTGAAACAAGACATAACACATGTTTACTATACAAAAGTAATTATATTGCCAGAATTATAAAATTTCCAACATCAGGAACAAGGGCAACCTAGCCTCCCTGTCATTTAGAGAGAGGTGCTCAGGTACAAGGAACATTGTAATTTCCTAAAGCAAATAAAATGAGTGTTCATGAAGGACTGTCCTTGATATAGGGTTATATTTACAGCAAGGCTGATGTCCCAAATTGTTTTTCACTCCTGTGCACCTAGGGATGGAATAGGGTCTGAGAAATGCATGGTTGGTCAAGTTCATTTTTTGTGAATGTCATAGTGTTATTACACATACCCAGAGGGATCGGCCACCACTGTGACTGCACAGGCTGTGCTTTTACATGGCTGGCAGGGCAGTAGGATGTTTTACATGATCATCTGCACACACACACACACACACATACATGAGCAATGTGTGGCACTACAACATTACAACAACAATGACTTCCCCGGATGATAAAATAGTTGAATCCCGTTAGGATCTTACGGGACCACTGAGAAACACAACATATCTGTTGACCAAAAAGCTGCATGTGCATTTGAGTATAGAGGAAACTATGATTGTAGAATGTGGCAATGCCAGATATGCTTAAGGTGATGCTTCAGAGTTAAAATGATTATGGAGACAATGTTCATTATTTTTAACACCAACTTGAAAGATACCTAAAGTTGCAATAATGGTGTCCAGCTTGTCCTGTCTGGCACATTCAGTTACGATCATAGAGAGAGGCTCCTTGTGGGGTTTCTGTCTGAAGGAAGCCCTGCGTGGTCTCTGAGGAGCACCTGTCTGGCAGCGAGCTTCTCCTCTGCAGCTGAGTCTCAGGATGTGTGAACCAGCATCACTCCTCCTCTCCACTATTACAGAGCCACAGAGTCCTCCATCAAAATGTCTGGGAAATAGAGAAAACAGTCTCTGTGAGAGTGAGCTCTCTGGTGAATATTTAGAAGAAACATTCTGTTAAAATATTGATGAATTAAATGTAGCAAAAATTGCCCCGGAATGGTGTGGTTCCATGCATTGAGTGCCAGACTGCAAACCAAAAGATTGCCGGTTCAATTCCCAGTCAGGGCACTTGCCTGGGTTGTGGATCACGTTGCCAGCAAAGGGCATGTAAGAGGCAACACACATTGATATTTCTTTCCCTCTCTTTCTCCCCACCTTCCTCTCTGCTAATAAATGAATGAATGAATGAATGAATTTGGAAAATGTAGCTAGAATTAAAACTGTATGTCTGTTGAAATGTACTTTTAAGGGAATGAAAAGATGAGTGAAGATTTTAGAGCATGTTTATAAATGTTATGTCTGTAAATATTGTGTCCTGAATAAAAAAGGACTTTCCAGGTAGTGCAGGAGCGAGGAAAATCTGGCCCCACGGCCCAGCCCCCCCAGGGAGGTTGGAGATGCAGAGGGTTCCTCTGAGGGTCACAGTGACCTTCCCTCTGGGCAAAGCTATCAGTGCCCCTCCCCTCTCTCCTGCCTCTGAACACAGTGAACTGTTAGTAACAGAATCTAAGACGGTGGATCAGCCACGACTCTGCTCACATCTTCTCTTCATTAATTGGATGGCAATGCAGCAAATAGATGTGTACTGGTGTTTGTTTCTCCTGTTCTGTATAAAAAAAAAATGTGCTCCTCTCTGATGTAATTAGTGAGGCCTCTCTGCTGCAGGCTTCAGTGCCATAAGGGAGATTTAGCAGAGAGAGCCTTGGACACACATACAAGACTCACACAGCAAGGACCACGGGGCTCCAACCAGCCTCTAGTTGCTCATATAAAAGTCATCCTAGGCGTTTGAGTTGCAGAAAGTGAGGTTTTTGAAAAAACTGTCCTATATGTTGGGATCATATTTATACCTAACTTGAAATCAGCATATTACTAACCATATAATTATGATTACAAACTTCCCATTGTGGATACTTTCATGTTTCATGTTCAGGAAAGTGTTTGGACATAGTGTTCATCCCTTAGGACATCTACCAGAAAACAGATGAGATCCGAAATCTCCTCTTACACACAGAGGGTGGGGTCATCGTCTGACTTGTTTACAATGCACCTCACAACCTAAAGGTCCTCTTGTCCCAGGTCACACAGAGCATACGGTCAGGAGAAGAGGGGCCCAGAGGGGAACCTGACTCAGTCCCTTCTTACTTATGAGAACAGAGTCCCCCCACATGCAAATATCACTCCCAGCTCCCCTGTAAATCCTCCCCTGGGCTGTGGGGCTCACCACTGTCTCCTCACACAGGGCTGAGTCTCTGGGGAAGCAGAGCTGTGACCTAGAAGATGAGGCTGCTGGGTCTCCTCCTGTGCCTGCTGACGGCCCCGCAGGGTGAGTGTCTCAGGAGTCAGACAGGGGTCTATAGGATGGTGGTGATTGCACATGACTGACAGGGACAGATGCTCTTTGTCCCCAGGTGTCCTGTGCCAATGGAAGCTGCAAGAGTCAGGCCCAGGACTGGTGAAGCCCTCACAGACCCTCTCCCTCACCTGCACTGCGTCTGGTGGCTCAGTCACCAGCAGTTACTACTGGCACTGGATCCGCCAGCCTCCAGGGAAGGCACTGGAGTGGATGGGGTACTGGACAGGAAGCACAAGATACAACCCAGCGTTCCAGGGCCGCATCTCCATCACTGCTGACACGTCCAGGAACCAGTTCTCCCTGCAGCTGAGCTCCGTGACCCCTGGGGACACAGCTGTGTATTACTGTGCAGGAAACACAGTGAGGGGAAGTCAGCAGGAGCTCAGACACAAACCTGCTTTAGGGATCCACTGGAGGGCTGTGCTGCAGGGGACACTCAGGACACTAGGGGGCGCTCAGGATCCAGATGTCATAGCATCAGAAGCAGGAGCAGGCGCAGGTGGAGGCTGAGCCCTGGGTCTCTCCACAGTCTGGCTTTCCTCTCCATCTGACATCTGCGTCTGCATCTTCTCCAGAGTCTGGACCAGGACTTTAATGAGACAGACAACTCAGCAGCAAACGACACCTCCCAGGGCTCACATGCCTACTGCTAGCAGAGCGCTGGTCAATCCTGACAAAGAATAAAGGCCTTGTAGGGATCATTTCCCCAGAACCCTGCCCACAGCAGGGTTGGCTGCAGCTCCTGTGTAAACCCAATGTGGTTTCCACCCAAATGACCTTTAGATACTGAGTCTTATATCGATTACACACCAAACAACAAGATGGTGCTCAGTTTTTCTCAAAGATTATATTTATTTACTCATAGAGGGGAGAAAAGAGTGAGAAAGAGGGAAAAAAAATCAGTGTGTGGTTCCCTCCCTAGTGTCCCTTACTGGGGACCTCACCCGCAACCCCAGCATGTGCCCTCACTGGGAATCGAGCCTGTGACCCCTTGATTCACAGGCTGTTACTCAATCCACTTCTCCACACCTGCTAGGACTGGAGTTCAGTTCTGACATCATCGAGCCTCAGGAGGGTTACCAGGCCTCCCCAGCAGGGGTGAAGTGGTTTCCAGCAGCCCAACCAAGAGCTTTCCCTGGGTTTTCTGGTCAAAGGGTAAAGGTTCCCATGGTGGGCACAGACTTGGGCAAATTGACTCTCCCACATTGGGCAAAGGAGTACCTACTCAGGCTTTTCTAAATCAGTGTTTTCAGATGAGGGTGATTGGGATGCAGAGCGGGAGGCTTGGAAGCTCTCAGACTCCAGCATCAAAACATGGGCTCAGACCCCAGAGTCCAGCTAACAATTGCTCACATCACCAAGCCTAGTTAACATCACAGAGGACAGATAGACCAACAACTGTTTGTTTGGATGTCCAGGCTGAAGGAAAACACACACATACACTGAAGGGATACAGAAGGTTTATCATCCCATAGGAGAAATCTCTGGGAGGAATGGAAAAGGTCGTTCTGTAAGTCGGATGTATTTACAAGAGCCAGGAAAGAAGACCAGATTAGGTTTTTATTTTGTTGAGGTGGTGGTGAGGAGATTCTGCCTACGCATTAAGGTCATTGATTTATCCCCCTTCCTTTGTTCCTTGGGGCCATTCCCACTTCCTTTTATGTGTCCTGAATATCTTACTCTCTCTGTTGCAAAAAAAAAAAAAAAAAAGTAAGAAGCAACTGGGTTTGAAGATATGGTTGCTTCTCATCAGGGTCCTTGTTGCCCCCCCTCCAACCACTGTTCAGTCTGCTCTTCCTGGCTGACAAACAATACATGTCAGGCATTCTCATTGAAACCTGACTGAGGATGACCCCCTCCTATGCACTTCAGGGCAGTACTGATCTGGCAGTTCTGAATCCATGTGCTGATTCACACCCTCTTCCTCACACAGCACAGACTGTCCCACCTGAGGGTGATCGGTCCACACTGTCATCCCTGTGAGGTTCCCTGTCTGCTTTTGGAGCAGTGAGCCACTTTCCTCTCTGCCTCATGGTCACATATTGAGCAATGCGTAATTGTCTCTTGTGCATCTCTACTGGGGACCAAGCCCACAACTCACGCATGTCCCCTGATGAGAAATTGAAAATATGACCCTTCTTTTGCAGACAGCAGTCAATCCACTGTGCTACACCAGCCAGGGCTCTGTGAGGGTATTTTTTGTCTGTGAACTGGGTGAGGCTGACGATCCTTCTTTAGGGGTGAGCCCTGCCTGACCATTGGTGGCCTGCAGGGCACCAATGGGACTCCCCTGCCTGAGGGCTTTGGAATGGGATCATCCACATGAGCTTTGGTCCTCCCTCCAGCTCCCAGGATATACGGGCTCCTCCTGAATTTCAGGGTTGTGTCCTTGGAGTGGAACTAACTCTAAGACTCCTGTGTGAATCTCACATACATGTTCTCCTCCATTTACTCTGAACCCCCTTTATGTCACAGCCACTTGTTTCCTCAGAGTGGCAGGGCATGGGCTGGATGCATGTCCCTGTCTCAGGGTCTCCAGGCTGAGTCAGGTATAACCTAGAGGTGGACCCTGACCCACGTCCCTGTCAGCCTCCCCTTCTCACTCACATTGGATCCCTCCTTTCCCTTTGCTCTCATCCTGCTGCATCCATGATGGGTGCGAGACGATGGCAGAGGACCCCGAGCTCACTACAGAAATTATTACTGTTTGTCCCAACTCAGCACAGCCTCTCATCACAGGAGATTCCTGCCTATTTCAGGTGATCACCTGTTGACTCCTTTAGCCTGAGTTTCTTATCTGCCTCCCCTGTGTTGTGGTCCCTGCTTTCTGATCAGGAAAATAGTAAAATCACCTGTCTACAAGCAACTGTAGAAATTCAATACCAAAATGTATTCCATCCTCACCACAAACACCATCCCTCCTTTAAATAAGAACATTGAGAAATGCAAGTACACAGATGAGCCTTGGAGACACAATGCCTGGGGAAGAGGCCACTCTCAGCACCACAGTGGCCTTGTGCATCTATGTCTGTGAGAAACGGAGGGTCAAGGCCATGGAGACTGAGAGTGGAAAGAGTAACTGGGCTGGGGGGCAGGAGATGGGGTGTTGTTATTTAAATGGCACCGAGTCAGTGTGGGAAGGTGAGGAATTCTGGACTTGGAGTGTGACAGGTTGCACAACCTTTTGAACTTATTTAACATCACTGTGTGCACTTAAGATAAATTTGCCTGGTGACTGTTTGGAGCAAAACCCTCAGAAGGGGTGTGACTGTTCTATGTGTGTTTCCAGAAAAATGGAACCTGGCAAGAGCGGGGGCCTGGTCCAGGACTCTGGGTGATGAGGGCTCCTTGGATGAGAGCAGTGTGTGAGGTGGAGGTGTGGGATCAAAGACAGGGTGTGAGTCACGTCCTCAGAGGGTGAAGGTTATAACAAGTACCCAGAGCCTTTTTGAAGGAGATGCAATGTGGCTGGAATGTCACTAGAGCTCAGCACTCTCTGACATATGGAGTCAACAGGATGAGTTATAGGAACACACAACCGCACATGACACTCACCACACACAGGTTCATGTTGCATGGAATGGACTCACCCTTCTCAGGAGAGACGTTGTTCCATGAATTTTCACTTTGCAGCATCCTCTGAGAACCTAACCTGGCACAGGAGTGAAAAAAAAAAAAGACAAAACCTTCAACATGTTCACTTATCTGAGTCTTAGTTTCTAAAGCTCCTGGAAAACAGGGAAACAGACACCCAGGTGCCCACCTGAAATGCATCTCTGGGCAGTGTCACAGGGAAAGGTGAGGGGTGAGGGCATGTCCCATTGAGGTGCCCCCGGGACTGGTTCCTGCCAGGGCCCTAAAAAGAGCACAGTTCTCCATGTGTGGAGGGAAGACAAGAGTGGTTCACAGGTATACACTCAGGCACAGGTGTGCTGTTTGCTGGAGGTGGTCTCACAGCTTCTCTCCCTTGGGATCCACCTCCCTTTCCTTCAGGTTGAGCACAACAGTCAGGTGCCAGCACAGCTGATGGTGTCACCTTGTACCTGAAGGACAGTGGTGCTATCTCAGTCACAGATGCTACCTCAGTCCCACAAGGCATCACACATCTGTCACTCTAACCACTCCTGTCGATGAAGTGGGACTCTCCTGAGACATTGGTCACTTTAGGACATCTCTCAGCAGATCCTTAGATGTCTTCAGTCTGTGATATGTGCCCCAGGCCTTGCTGTGTGCTATCGATGACGGGCAATGCAGTGGGAAGTTTCTGCGGATGGAGGGTGTGTGATACTTGGGGAAGGAAACCTGGTTTTAAGGAGTTGCAAGGATGTTGAGTCCCATCATGTGTTTCACTTCACTTAAGTGATTTAATAAAAGCCACAACTACTATGCAATTGGTTTGCCTCCATCTGTCATGGGGTCTATCATGAGCTCCCAGTCTCCTTTCTAGAACATCAACTTAAAGGCTGTAAACCCCAGAGTCTCAGATGAACACGGGGATGGCAGGTTCCAAACTGACCCTCTATGACCAGAAAACAAGTCCTGTCCTCACACATCCCAGGACACCTGTTGGCCCAGAGTCAGTGCCTGTGTATCCCTGGGGGAAGGTGGCCCCAGGGCTCAGGGTCCCATGTGTTCTAGGAACCTGGGAGGCCTCTTGAGCAGCTTTCCTGGTGGAAGGAGCTGCACTCCCCTGGGAGAAGGGGGATGAAAAGTAGGACAGGATGTGTCTAACACTTCTGTCAGCCGCAGAGTCTGAGCTAAACTCTGGGCAGCAGGTCTTACCCTGTGTGTCCTATGCCCTGGAGCTGAACCGAGACACAGGCCCCAGCTACTCTGCCACATGCAGATACAGGGGACTCAGCCAGGGCAAAGGAAGATTTTTCTTTTTTTTGCATTATTTTTATATGAAATTGTACATCAAGTTTCCATATGAAATTTTGCTTATTCAATCTGGAAAAGATGTTTCTACTTCATGCATTTCTTTTTACTTTGGTATAAGTTTTGATGAATGTTAAAACTGTTTAATATCCAATTGAACCATTTATGAAATTAAAATGGTGTGATCCCTCATCCACTCCAGCTTTAACTCTTAAACATATAGAGACGTGTTGTCCATTGGCATGATTCTGAGTAGACTGATAACCCATATGCTTTTCCATACCTGACCTACACCATCGAGTCAGAGTGAAAAAACGTCTTCAGGGCACAAAAGGACAGTGGTCTCAGTCTCTCCCTTCTTAGAGTAGAGTTTGCGACATGCAAATGTCTGTCTCAGCTGCAGGTTAAATTCTCCCCTGGGCTGTGGGGGCTCACAACTCTCTCCACACATGGGGCTGAGTCTCTGAGGAAGGCAGACGTGTGTGTAGAAGATGAGGCTGCTGGGTATCCTCCTGTGCCTACTGACAGTCCCCCATGATAAGTGTCTCAGAAGTCAGACATGGGTCAATGGGTTGGTGTTGACTGCACATGACTGACAAGGAATGGTGTTCTTTGTTTCCAGGTGTCTGGTC